GCCTCGTTCCTTCTCTGCCGCTACTGGGTGGGTGCATGCCTCCCTGCCTCGTTCCTTCTCTGCCGCTACTGGGTGGGTGCATGCCTCCCTGCCTCGTTCCTTCTCTGCCGCTACTGGGTGGGTGCATGCCTCCCTGCCTCGTTCCTTCTCTGCCGCTACTGGGTGGGTGCATGCCTCCCTGCCTCGTTCCTTCTCTGCCGCTACTGGGTGGGTGCATGCCTCCCTGCCTCGTTCCTTCTCTGCCGCTACTGGGTGGGTGCATGCCTCCCTGCCTCGTTCCTTCTCTGCCGCTACTGGGTGGGTGCATGCCTCCCTGCCTCGTTCCTTCTCTGCCGCTACTGGGTGGGTGCATGCCTCCCTGCCTCGTTCCTTCTCTGCCGCTACTGGGTGGGTGCATGCCTCCCTGCCTCGTTCCTTCTCTGCCGCTACTGGGTGGGTGCATGCCTCCCTGCCTCGTTCCTTCTCTGCCGCTACTGGGTGGGTGCATGCCTCCCTGCCTCGTTCCTTCTCTGCCGCTACTGGGTGGGTGCATGCCTCCCTGCCTCGTTCCTTCTCTGCCGCTACTGGGTGGGTGCATGCCTCCCTGCCTCGTTCCTTCTCTGCCGCTACTGGGTGGGTGCATGCCTCCCTGCCTCGTTCCTTCTCTGCCGCTACTGGGTGGGTGCATGCCTCCCTGCCTCGTTCCTTCTCTGCCGCTACTGGGTGGGTGCATGCCTCCCTGCCTCGTTCCTTCTCTGCCGCTACTGGGTGGGTGCATGCCTCCCTGCCTCGTTCCTTCTCTGCCGCTACTGGGTGGGTGCATGCCTCCCTGCCTCGTTCCTTCTCTGCCGCTACTGGGTGGGTGCATGCCTCCCTGCCTCGTTCCTTCTCTGCCGCTACTGGGTGGGTGCATGCCTCCCTGCCTCGTTCCTTCTCTGCCGCTACTGGGTGGGTGCATGCCTCCCTGCCTCGTTCCTTCTCTGCCGCTACTGGGTGGGTGCATGCCTCCCTGCCTCGTTCCTTCTCTGCCGCTACTGGGTGGGTGCATGCCTCCCTGCCTCGTTCCTTCTCTGCCGCTACTGGGTGGGTGCATGCCTCCCTGCCTCGTTCCTTCTCTGCCGCTACTGGGTGGGTGCATGCCTCCCTGCCTCGTTCCTTCTCTGCCGCTACTGGGTGGGTGCATGCCTCCCTGCCTCGTTCCTTCTCTGCCGCTACTGGGTGGGTGCATGCCTCCCTGCCTCGTTCCTTCTCTGCCGCTACTGGGTGGGTGCATGCCTCCCTGCCTCGTTCCTTCTCTGCCGCTACTGGGTGGGTGCATGCCTCCCTGCCTCGTTCCTTCTCTGCCGCTACTGGGTGGGTGCATGCCTCCCTGCCTCGTTCCTTCTCTGCCGCTACTGGGTGGGTGCATGCCTCCCTGCCTCGTTCCTTCTCTGCCGCTACTGGGTGGGTGCATGCCTCCCTGCCTCGTTCCTTCTCTGCCGCTACTGGGTGGGTGCATGCCTCCCTGCCTCGTTCCTTCTCTGCCGCTACTGGGTGGGTGCATGCCTCCCTGCCTCGTTCCTTCTCTGCCGCTACTGGGTGGGTGCATGCCTCCCTGCCTCGTTCCTTCTCTGCCGCTACTGGGTGGGTGCATGCCTCCCTGCCTCGTTCCTTCTCTGCCGCTACTGGGTGGGTGCATGCCTCCCTGCCTCGTTCCTTCTCTGCCGCTACTGGGTGGGTGCATGCCTCCCTGCCTCGTTCCTTCTCTGCCGCTACTGGGTGGGTGCATGCCTCCCTGCCTCGTTCCTTCTCTGCCGCTACTGGGTGGGTGCATGCCTCCCTGCCTCGTTCCTTCTCTGCCGCTACTGGGTGGGTGCATGCCTCCCTGCCTCGTTCCTTCTCTGCCGCTACTGGGTGGGTGCATGCCTCCCTGCCTCGTTCCTTCTCTGCCGCTACTGGGTGGGTGCATGCCTCCCTGCCTCGTTCCTTCTCTGCCGCTACTGGGTGGGTGCATGCCTCCCTGCCTCGTTCCTTCTCTGCCGCTACTGGGTGGGTGCATGCCTCCCTGCCTCGTTCCTTCTCTGCCGCTACTGGGTGGGTGCATGCCTCCCTGCCTCGTTCCTTCTCTGCCGCTACTGGGTGGGTGCATGCCTCCCTGCCTCGTTCCTTCTCTGCCGCTACTGGGTGGGTGCATGCCTCCCTGCCTCGTTCCTTCTCTGCCGCTACTGGGTGGGTGCATGCCTCCCTGCCTCGTTCCTTCTCTGCCGCTACTGGGTGGGTGCATGCCTCCCTGCCTCGTTCCTTCTCTGCCGCTACTGGGTGGGTGCATGCCTCCCTGCCTCGTTCCTTCTCTGCCGCTACTGGGTGGGTGCATGCCTCCCTGCCTCGTTCCTTCTCTGCCGCTACTGGGTGGGTGCATGCCTCCCTGCCTCGTTCCTTCTCTGCCGCTACTGGGTGGGTGCATGCCTCCCTGCCTCGTTCCTTCTCTGCCGCTACTGGGTGGGTGCATGCCTCCCTGCCTCGTTCCTTCTCTGCCGCTACTGGGTGGGTGCATGCCTCCCTGCCTCGTTCCTTCTCTGCCGCTACTGGGTGGGTGCATGCCTCCCTGCCTCGTTCCTTCTCTGCCGCTACTGGGTGGGTGCATGCCTCCCTGCCTCGTTCCTTCTCTGCCGCTACTGGGTGGGTGCATGCCTCCCTGCCTCGTTCCTTCTCTGCCGCTACTGGGTGGGTGCATGCCTCCCTGCCTCGTTCCTTCTCTGCCGCTACTGGGTGGGTGCATGCCTCCCTGCCTCGTTCCTTCTCTGCCGCTACTGGGTGGGTGCATGCCTCCCTGCCTCGTTCCTTCTCTGCCGCTACTGGGTGGGTGCATGCCTCCCTGCCTCGTTCCTTCTCTGCCGCTACTGGGTGGGTGCATGCCTCCCTGCCTCGTTCCTTCTCTGCCGCTACTGGGTGGGTGCATGCCTCCCTGCCTCGTTCCTTCTCTGCCGCTACTGGGTGGGTGCATGCCTCCCTGCCTCGTTCCTTCTCTGCCGCTACTGGGTGGGTGCATGCCTCCCTGCCTCGTTCCTTCTCTGCCGCTACTGGGTGGGTGCATGCCTCCCTGCCTCGTTCCTTCTCTGCCGCTACTGGGTGGGTGCATGCCTCCCTGCCTCGTTCCTTCTCTGCCGCTACTGGGTGGGTGCATGCCTCCCTGCCTCGTTCCTTCTCTGCCGCTACTGGGTGGGTGCATGCCTCCCTGCCTCGTTCCTTCTCTGCCGCTACTGGGTGGGTGCATGCCTCCCTGCCTCGTTCCTTCTCTGCCGCTACTGGGTGGGTGCATGCCTCCCTGCCTCGTTCCTTCTCTGCCGCTACTGGGTGGGTGCATGCCTCCCTGCCTCGTTCCTTCTCTGCCGCTACTGGGTGGGTGCATGCCTCCCTGCCTCGTTCCTTCTCTGCCGCTACTGGGTGGGTGCATGCCTCCCTGCCTCGTTCCTTCTCTGCCGCTACTGGGTGGGTGCATGCCTCCCTGCCTCGTTCCTTCTCTGCCGCTACTGGGTGGGTGCATGCCTCCCTGCCTCGTTCCTTCTCTGCCGCTACTGGGTGGGTGCATGCCTCCCTGCCTCGTTCCTTCTCTGCCGCTACTGGGTGGGTGCATGCCTCCCTGCCTCGTTCCTTCTCTGCCGCTACTGGGTGGGTGCATGCCTCCCTGCCTCGTTCCTTCTCTGCCGCTACTGGGTGGGTGCATGCCTCCCTGCCTCGTTCCTTCTCTGCCGCTACTGGGTGGGTGCATGCCTCCCTGCCTCGTTCCTTCTCTGCCGCTACTGGGTGGGTGCATGCCTCCCTGCCTCGTTCCTTCTCTGCCGCTACTGGGTGGGTGCATGCCTCCCTGCCTCGTTCCTTCTCTGCCGCTACTGGGTGGGTGCATGCCTCCCTGCCTCGTTCCTTCTCTGCCGCTACTGGGTGGGTGCATGCCTCCCTGCCTCGTTCCTTCTCTGCCGCTACTGGGTGGGTGCATGCCTCCCTGCCTCGTTCCTTCTCTGCCGCTACTGGGTGGGTGCATGCCTCCCTGCCTCGTTCCTTCTCTGCCGCTACTGGGTGGGTGCATGCCTCCCTGCCTCGTTCCTTCTCTGCCGCTACTGGGTGGTGCATGCCTCCCTGCCTCGTTCCTTCTCTGCCGCTACTGGGTGGGTGCATGCCTCCCTGCCTCGTTCCTTCTCTGCCGCTACTGGGTGGGTGCATGCCTCCCTGCCTCGTTCCTTCTCTGCCGCTACTCCTCCCTGCCTCGTTCCTTCTCTGCCGCTACTGGGTGAATGTATGGCTCGTTACCCCTTTCGCCTTCTTGCAACCCATGCATCCTTGGCTCTCATACCTTCCTCCCTTCAATTCTCTCTCTTTAGAGCCCCCATCAATGCCATCGCCAATGTTTCTGGATGAATCCTTGGCAATGTAGATGATGCCGCCTCTCCTCCGCTACTCCTTTCGCCTGCTTGCATGCTCCAACTCATGATCCCCATGATCCCCTCATGCACCCCTGTCATTCTTCCATGGTCGTTCCTTGATCGTTCTGCCTCTTGTTATAACTCCTTCCAACCATTCCCATCATGTGATTCCAGTCACCATTCTCATTCCACTCACCATTCTCATTCCACTCACCATTCTCATTCCACTCACCATTCTCATTCCACTCACCATTCTCATTCCACTCACCATTCTCATTCCACTCACCATTCTCATTCCACTCACCATTCTCATTCCACTCACCATTCTCATTCCACTCACCATTCTCATTCCACTCACCATTCTCATTCCACTCACCATTCTCATTCCACTCACCATTCTCATTCCACTCACCATTCTCATTCCACTAGTTGCACTTCTCTTTCCCCCCTCTGCCCATCTCCCCACCTTCCCAGCACTCCCATTCCGCTCCTCCCCCCAGCGGACATTCCGCTCTTCCTCGCCTGCCTGGCATCAGCCCTCCGTCTGCCCCCTGCACGCCTTGCTGTTTCACTCCCCATTTTAACCCTAGTTCTTTCTTCCTCTGCCCATCTCTACACCCCCAGCACCCCCCTCCCTGCCCTCCCCCCAGCGGACATTCCTCTCTTCCTCGCCTGCCTGGCAGCGGCCATCCGTCTGCCCCCTCCCCGTGCGCTCACCATGGTGCTCGCAGCCCTCGCTGCCCGCACACGCTCCTCCTTCCTGCAGGCCTGGGTCAGTCGCAGGCTCGGGTGAAGGGCAGGTTTGGGTGAGAGGCAGGTTTGGGTGAGAGACAGGCTTGGGTGTAAGACAGGCTCGGGCTTAGTTGCAAAAGACGCGCCCTGCGTCTAGGACGCATGCGTCCAGACGCATGCGTCCAGACGCAGGACGCTGTCCCTGGACGCCTAGGACGCACCAAAAGACGCAAGCCCGGGCAGGGCAAAAAAAACTTTCGGGCAGGCAAAAAAACTTGGTATAGGGCATGGGCAGGAGGGGGGGGGGGGGGGGCCACCTTCCACACACTTTCAAGGCAAAATTTTCCCCAACAACAATTTTTTCCCCCAAAAGTATAGACTAAGGTGAGTCACGCGTCACATCACATCACACATGTCGCATAGTCGCACACACATTTAGTTTAATCCGGGACTAACATTCTTAGATGCGGTGGAAGAGGAAGGGTTGCTTGAGGAAGCCATAACGGAACGGAGTTAGGCTAAGGGTTTACGAAAGAGAATTGGGTGGATGGGTTGTAGAAGGGAAAGCACAAATAGACTTGGTTGGATTGCTAAATGGGCTTGGTGGTGGGCCACAAAGGTTGGGTTTTGTAGATGTGGAGTGGTGAAGAGGTTTGACATTTTCAATTTTGTTTGAGGGGGTTATGAAATGTTGGGGGGGTTGTTTTAGTATGTCAATTTGGCCTTAGGGGGTCGAAATTTCGCGATTTCGACAGCCGCGTCGAAATCGCGAATGTAAATTTCGGAGTCGGGAATTTTTGGGTTGCGTAGCAACCCTTTATATTTGGTTTCACATTTTGGGATGTCATTCGAAGAGTGTTATTTACGCACTTTTTGGAGCACTCATTTGAATGTTTTGAAACTATGTTCAAACGGATGCCTCAAATAGTGGATAAAAAACTCTCTTGGATGAGATCCCCAAAACACGTAAGCACGTACGTATCATGTTGAAACCATGAACTTGCTCGACCGTCACAACCTCGTCGATAAATACGGCGGATCATGCGGCCGAGCATAATATTCTGGCATCGACATGAACGAATGCAATTGTACAAATGAACAAGGTATGAGGTGGAGTGAATGCTTCAAAATGAATGTTAAAATGCATCATGCAGCAACAGAGGTTGATGGGGTCGTTGAAACAGCGAAAACACGCTGCCCCAAAGACGATTAACAACCTCTAATTGCATACATAACACATACTAACACCACACTTTGAAACACACATCCCACAAACACGAATGCAAACGCACGTAAAAAAAGTACAACCCACGTTACCGAATGCATCGAAGTGCAACCCGACAGTGAAACAAACACAATGACAAGACATGAACACACCCGCACAAACACACCCGCACCGCACACACATACATACACAAATAGGATTGAGAGCAGACAAGCATAACAAAGAGTTGCAATAAGTTAATTATGTATCAATCACTGCTACCTTGTCCGCCCCTTCCTCCCCCTTTCCGCCTTCCTTCCTCTCCCTCTACCATCGAAATCTTCTCCCACCCTTTTCCACATTGTCTTCTCTCTCGATCCCTCCCTGCTCCCCACAACGCGTCTCGCACACCTTGCAAAACAAACAGGTCAAGCAGAAAATGAATTGTAGTCGGAAAACGGAGTGAACTATTCAATGACGAGCACGCACTTGATTGTGAAATGAAATTTGAAAGTAATATGATGAGTACAAAAGAACACCGCATTCGACGACTCACAAGCGTGGTTTGAAGCATAGATCCCCTGGGGTCACGCACACCACGCTGGTGTGCAGCAAGGCTCCAGCGAGCAAGGTGCCTTGGTGCAACGAGCTGGGCATCGCCATGCTACAAGGTGCCAGAGAGTTGCAGCAAGGCACTGGGCAGAGGAGCAAGCGGGCTGCCGTAACAAGGCATGAGCTCACTGCAGCAAGGCGTGAGCTCACTGCAGCAAGGCGTGAGCTCACTGCAGCAAGGCGTGAGCTCACTGCAGCAAGGCGTGAGCTCACTGCAGCAAGGCGTGAGCTCACTGCAGCAAGGCGTGAGCTCACTGCAGCAACGCGTGAGCTCACTGCAGCAAGGCGTGAGCTCACTGCAGCAAGGCGTGAGCTCACTGCAGCAACGCGTGAGCTCACTGCAGCAACGCGTGAGCTCACTGCAGCAACGCGTGAGCTCACTGCAGCAAGGCGTGAGCTCACTGCAGCAAGGCGTGAGCTCACTGCAGCAACGCGTGAGCTCACTGCAGCAACGCGTGAGCTCACTGCAGCAACGCGTGAGCTCACTGCAGCAACGCGTGAGCTCACTGCAGCAACGCGTGAGCTCACTGCAGCAACGCGTGAGCGTGTGCACAAATTTACCAGCGCGCTGCCGCAACAAGGCTGCCGCAGGAATTTGCCAGCGCCGCAAACAAGGCAGCAGTGCACAAGCCGCCAGCACGCTACAAGGTGCCAGCGCGCTGCGAGGGCACCTGCAGGGCGCCAAACGTAAGGCGCCAGCGCGTAAGGCGCCAACGCGTTAGGCGCCAGTGCGTAAGGCGCCAGCGCATTAGGCGCCAGCGCGTTAGGTGCCAGCGCGTAAGGCGCCAGCGCTTTAGGCGCCAACGCGCTAGGCGCCTGCGCATTAGGCGCCAGCGCGCTAGGCGCCGGCCCGTTAGGCACCAGCGGGCTATGCGCCAGCGCGTTTGGCGCCAGCGCGTTTGGCGCCAGCGCGTTAGGCGCCAGCGCAGCAAGCGCCAGCGCGCTAGGCGCCAGCGCAGCAAGCGCCAGCGCGCTAGGCGCCAGCGCGTTTGGCGCCAGCGCGCTAGGCGCTAGCGCGTTAGGCGCCAGCGCGTTAGGCGCCAGCGCTCTAGGCGCCTGCGCATTAGGCGCTAGCGCGCTAGGCGCCAGCGCGTTTGGCACCAGCGCGTTAGGCGCCAGCGCAGCAAGCGCCAGCGCGTTAGGCGCCAGCGCTCTAGGCGCCTGCGCATTAGGCGCCAGCGCGCTAGGAACCAGTGCGCTATGCGCCAACGCGCTAGGCGCCAGCGCTCTAGGCGCCAGCGCAGCAAGCGCCAGCGCGCTAGGCGCCAGCGCAGCAAGCGCCAGCGCGCTAGGCGCCAGCGCAGCAAGCGCCAGCGCGCTAGGCGCTAGCGCGTTAGGCGCCAGCGCTCTAGGCGCCTGCGCGTTAAACGCCAGCGCGCTAGGCGCCAGCGTGTTAGGCGCCAGCCCGTTAGGCGCCAACGCGCTATGCGCCTGCGTGCTCGCTCCCGTGCGCACACACTCCCTCACACACTCTCTCTCCCCTTCTTAAAATGGAGGCACAATGCTAAGAGGAGACCAATCGGCATTGAGAACTTACGAGGAAAGTGGAAAAAATAGGACATTTCGGAGAGAGTAGCAAACGCACCTGAGACAACCGTGCCTAAGAAAACAACGCGTGGTCGTGCAGCAACCCACCAAAGGCGACGGCGGGAAGGGAGGGAGAGGCGACAAGGAGGAGGAAGGGAGAGCGACGGCGGGGAGCGAGGGAGAGGCGACGGTGGGGGGTGAGGTGAGGCGACGGTCGGGAGTGAGGGAGAGGTGACGGCAAGGTGGTTCCAACAAAACGAGTGGGAAGGTATTTGGGGTGGGAAGATAAGGGGAGATCAGAGTCGAGCAGGTGCTTGAATTCAAGAAACGGGACTCCCAAGGGAGCAGATTTTACAGTGGGGAAAGGTTTGGTTGGGTTTGTGTAGCGCTGGCAAGATCATTTTCTGCCAACGAGGCACGAACCAGCTTTCACAATCGACATACACCAGTTCCTTTATACTCCCCAAAATCAAGAAAGTTGTGGATGATTATTTTTAGCTGTAAAACAAACAAACACAAACACACTAGAAAACAATATTGCTTAGGAAAAAAAAAAACTTATATTCTTTAAAAATTTTGCCATTAACAACAATTAGTGGTAGTAATAAATTACCATAAGCAATAACGAAATAAACAACTTACAAGCATGTTATAAAGAGACATAGTTTGTTGCTTTCTATATATACCATAAGTATACTATCAAGCAGTTCATAATGTCTTAACACGAAAAATATGTCCTGCGCAACCCTTCCGACGTTAACGTCGAACCTTGTTTTTTTCTCGGGCAGCCTGAAAAAATTTCCGCGTGCGTCCTGCGTCTGGACGCGCGTCCTGCGTCCTAGCGTCTAGACGCTGAGTCCAGACGCAGGACGCAGCGTCTGATCTGCGTCTTTTGCAACTAAGGGCTCGGGTGAGGGGAAGGCTTGGGTGAGAAGCAGTTTCGGTTGAGAGCAGGCTCGGGTGAGGGGCATTGAATATTATTCATGTATGCTTCTCACACTCCATGCCCCGCCCAACTCGGTTTGTCCCCCCCCCCCCCAACTCTGTAAACTTCTCACACGCCAATCATACCTGATTATCACCCAATGCCCCTCACCATGCTACGTAACAGCATTGCGTCCATGCACCCTTGCATCGCACGTCATGCACACAGGCATTTTCTAATCGATGCTTCCCACACGCCATGCTTCCCATACGCCATGCTTCCCACACGCCATGCTTCCCACACGCCATGTGTCGGACACACCATGTATCCTGGCAGGCACTGGTGAAGCAGAATCGGCGCAGTGATGCAGAGGAGGAGCTTCAACGCCTCGCCAGCATCGCCACCACCCTGCCCCCTCCTACCAACTCGGTATGCTCCCCCGCCCAACTCGGTATGCTTCCCTGCCCAACGCAATCCCCTTTCTTCAACGCCCTGTTCCATCCAGCACCACCCCCATATCTTGTTTTCACCGTGCCACGTACTACACACTTTCTTAACACATGCCCGTCCCACCACGTGCCCCCAGCTCCATGGCAGGCGGAAATGGAGATGATGGCTGGGGCCCAAAACCCCGCACTCTCTACATCTCCCTTTCTCACCCTCTCCTTCCACCTGTCCAAACACCCTCCCTTTCCCCCCCTTCCCCGTCCCCATCGACGCCCCACCCATGCCTCCATCCCTCCATGCACCAGAGACCGGCAGACGGAGATGGTGACGCGGGGGCCTAACAACACCGCACTCACCTTCCAATCTCCTCTCTCTCACCCTCCCTTTCCTCCTGCCCAAACACCCGTCCCACCACCCCGTGTCTCCCCGGTCAACTCGTCGCCAGCATGCAGCATGGAGGGGCGGGTGGAGAGGGAGATGTTGTGGGGGCAGGCTAAACGCCATCACACTCACCTCCTGTGGCGGGGATAACACCATCACACCGCGCTCAACTTCCTTCCACTCCTGTATCTCTCACCCCAACCACCCACACCGTCCTCGTCCCCTCCTCCCCCTTCCATTCCCGCCCACCTGTGTGTACACCATGCCTGGCAGGCGGTATTCGAGGCGCCTCAAAAATCAATTCCCGCCCGCCTGTGTGTGCAGTGCACCATGCCTGGCAGGCGGAGATGGAGATGGTGGCAACGGGGCTACCACCATCGCACGCACCATCACACACGCACCTGCTGCTCCCACCATTGTGATGTCCCCTCCTCCTTCCCCACCTCCCCTCGCACCCCTGCCTGCATGCATTTTGCAGCGGCAGGCGGAGATGGAGATGGTGGCGGCGGGGCTACCACTGTCTCATCTCCTCCCCCCTCTGTGACACCCCCCCCTTCCCCTGCAGGCGGAGATGGAGATGGTGGCAGCAGGGGTAACACCATCGCACCCCCTCTTCCCCTGGCAGGAAGAGATGGAGATGGTGACAGCAGGGCTAACACTGTCTCTGTGACACCCCCCCCTTCCCCTGCAGGCGGAGATGGAGATGGTGGCAGCAGGGGTAACACCATCGCACCCCCTCTTCCCCTGGCAGGAAGAGATGGAGATGGTGACAGCAGGGCTAACACTGTCTCTGTGACACCCCCTCCTTCCCCTGCAGGCGGAGATGGAGATGGTGGCAGCAGGGGTAACACCATCGCACCCCCTCTTCCCCTGGCAGGAAGAGATGGAGATGGTGACAGCAGGGCTAACACTGTCTCTGTGACACCCCCCCCTTCCCCTGCAGGCGGAGATGGAGATGGTGGCAGCAGGGGTAACACCATCGCACCCCCTCTTCCCCTGGCAGGAAGAGATGGAGATGGTGACAGCAGGGCTAACACTGTCTCTGTGACACCCCCCCCTTCCCCTGCAGGCGGAGATGGAGATGGTGGCAGCAGGGGTAACACCATCGCACCCCCTCTTCCCCTGGCAGGAAGAGATGGAGATGGTGACAGCAGGGCTAACACTGTCTCTGTGACACCCCCCCCTTCCCCTGCAGGCGGAGATGGAGATGGTGGCAGCAGGGGTAACACCATCGCACCCCCTCTTCCCCTGGCAGGAAGAGATGGAGATGGTGACAGCAGGGCTAACACTGTCTCTGTGACACCCCCCCCTTCCCCTGCAGGCGGAGATGGAGATGGTGGCAGCAGGGGTAACACCATCGCACCCCCTCTTCCCCTGGCAGGAAGAGATGGAGATGGTGACAGCAGGGCTAACACTGTCTCTGTGACACCCCCTCCTTCCCCTGCAGGCGGAGATGGAGATGGTGGCAGCAGGGGTAACACCATCGCACCCCCTCTTCCCCTGGCAGGAAGAGATGGAGATGGTGACAGCAGGGCTAACACTGTCTCTGTGACACCCCCCCCTTCCCCTGCAGGCGGAGATGGAGATGGTGGCAGCAGGGGTAACACCATCGCACCCCCTCTTCCCCTGGCAGGAAGAGATGGAGATGGTGACAGCAGGGCTAACACTGTCTCTGTGACACCCCCTCCTTCCCCTGCAGGCGGAGATGGAGATGGTGGCAGCAGGGGTAACACCATCGCACCCCCTCTTCCCCTGGCAGGAAGAGATGGAGATGGTGACAGCAGGGCTAACACTGTCTCTGTGACACCCCCTCCTTCCCCTGCAGGCGGAGATGGAGATGGTGGCAGCAGGGGTAACACCATCGCACCCCCTCTTCCCCTGGCAGGAAGAGATGGAGATGGTGACAGCAGGGCTAACACTGTCTCTGTGACACCCCCCCCTTCCCCTGCAGGCGGAGATGGAGATGGTGGCAGCAGGGGTAACACCATCGCACCCCCTCTTCCCCTGGCAGGAAGAGATGGAGATGGTGACAGCAGGGCTAACACTGTCTCTGTGACACCCCCTCCTTCCCCTGCAGGCGGAGATGGAGATGGTGGCAGCAGGGGTAACACCATCGCACCCCCTCTTCCCCTGGCAGGAAGAGATGGAGATGGTGACAGCAGGGCTAACACTGTCTCTGTGACACCCCCTCCTTCCCCTGCAGGCGGAGATGGAGATGGTGGCAGCAGGGGTAACACCATCGCACCCCCTCTTCCCCTGGCAGGAAGAGATGGAGATGGTGACAGCAGGGCTAACACTGTCTCTGTGACACCCCCCCCTTCCCCTGCAGGCGGAGATGGAGATGGTGGCAGCGGGGCTGGCGCAGAGGATAAGCCACGGGGAGAGGGAGGAGCTGCTGTGGGTGTACTGCAGGGCGGGGGGGAAGGACACCAGAGACGCCATGGCACGTGCCCTTGGCTTGTAGCCGCCTCCTGTGGGCCTCCTGGTTCAAGTCAAGGTTGCAGGGCGGAGCAAAGCCCGGAGGATTTTTACCGTAAGAGAGTTTACGAGTCTTTTGAAATACTGCAGCACAAGTTACACACCTGCCTGCCCCCTGCTATCGAAATAAAGTATCTGCTCTGCTATGAGTGGTTTTGAAGTTGCACTGCACTACGTAGATTATGCCGGAAAGGCATGTACGGTATATGAGAGGTTCTGTAATTTAAAGCCCGGGTACAGCATGGCGTTTTCAAGTCGCCAATAACCGAGTTACCCTACTTGCTTTCAAACAACTCTCGCGACCCCGGGCCATCGTCTTGCGACGACGGGTTCCTATTGGTCTGTGTTCTGTAAGGCAAAATCGAGGCGATCATCGCACGGAATATGCACTGTTCACCACTCACAGAACTTGAAAGTCAAGTTGTACTCACAAACTAGTAGGCTCCCCAGGCAGAAACTAGCACTAATGAGGCAAAAGCGAGCCGATAGCCCCATTTTTTTTATGTTCCCCGCGAAAGAGACATGAAGTCCAGCCGCAGCCGTGTTAGGGAGAGCTTTCTCTCATTCCACTCTCACGTCGCCGGTCTCGTGTAACACCCCCCATTCGTGTCACTTACGTAAGCGAACGATGAAAGCGGTCACCCGCGCCCTGCTTACAACCTCACGTCGCACACACAGGCTCGCATAACGCGCAATTGGTGCGGTTTAGCATCGTGTCACGATCCTATTGTTTTAGGCACGGGTCACTCACTCGACCTCGCCTCCTCACTCGATCTCGCCTCGTCACTCGCTCGCCTCCTCACTCGATCTCGCCGCCCGTCACGCGCTTCCCCATCACGCGCGCATCCCCTCGTCAACCGCGCTTCCGCTCGCATCCCGCGGGTACACTCGTCAACCGCGCTTCCCGTCGTACTGAGCGCAAACTGCCGTCACCCGCCCTTCACGTCGTCACCTCTCATCCGGGTCGTCGCTCGCCCGGGAGGGAAATGAGGAGAAGCAGGGGAGGGAAATGAGGGGAAGCAGGGAGGTAAATGAGGGGAAACAGGGGAGGGAAATGAGGGGAAGCAGGGGAGGGAAATGAGGGGAAGCAGGGGAGGGAAATGAGGAGAAGCAGGGGAGGGAAATGAGGGGAAGCAGGGAGGGAAATGAGGGGAAGCAGGGAGGGAAATGAGGGGAAGCAGGGGAGGGAAATGAGGGGAAGCAGGGGAGGGAAATGAGGGGAAGCAGGGGAGGGAAATGAGGGGAAGCAGGGAGGGAAATGAGGGGAAGCAGGGGAGGGAAATGAGGAGAAGCAGGGGAGGGAAATGAGGAGAAGCAGGGAGGGAAATGAGGGGAAGCAGGGAGGGAAATGAGGGGAAGCAGGGAGGGAAATGAGGGGAAGCAGGGAGGGAAATGAGGAGAAGCAGGGAGGGAAATGAGGGGAAGCAGGGAGGGAAATGAGGGGAAGCAGGGGAGGGAAATGAGGAGAAGCAGGGGAGGGAAATGAGGGGAAGCAGGGAGGGAAATGAGGGGAAGCAGGGGAGGGAAATGAGGAGAAGCAGGGAGGGAAATGAGGGGAAGGAGAGGGGGGAATGAGGGGAAGCAGGTGGGGTAATAAGGGGAAGCAGCGGGGTAAATGAGAGGAAGAAGGAGGGAAAATGAGGGGAAGCAAAGGGGGAAATGAGGAAAAGCAAGGGCTTAAAATTAGGGAAATCAGGGGGGGGTGAGTGGAAGGGCAGGGAAGCGAGGGCAAGGGATGGGCAGGTGGGAGAAGGGAAGCGGGAGTGGAGGCGCGAGGAGGGGCAGCGCGAGGAGGGTGCTGGCGCGCTGATGGCAGGGGGAGGCGCGGCGAGGTGAGCGGAGGCACGGGGAGGCGAGCGGAGGCGCGGCGAGGCGGGCGGAGGCGCGGCGAGGCGGGCGGAGGCGCGGCGAGGCGAGCGGCGGCACGGCGAGGCGAGCGGAGGCGCGGCGAGGCGAGCGGAGGCTCGACGAGGCGAGCGGAGGCTCGATGAGGCGAACGGAGGCGCGGCGAGGCGAGCGGAGGCACGACGAGGGAAGGCTTCTAGAAACGAGGGGAGGCGTGATGATGGGACAGGAGGCGCGGCGAGGGGAGGCGCGACGACGGGAGGCGAGGCACGAGAGGATGCGGACTCCGCGTCGCACAGAACACGAGCTGCTAAATGCGACGAGCGGGTGCTGCTCGGCGCTCGGTGCGAGAGCCGAATCACGTCCGTTTTCTTCCCCCTGTATAGCCACAACGACTGAATTACACTCCTGGTTTCTCGTTGTGACTAGCTACCCGTAGTGTGTCCTCTCTTTTTTTTTCCCGTAAGTGCGATCGCGCTTGCACGTTCCTACACTTTGCTGTTGCCGGCTCCTGCGATGGTCGGTAAGCTAGTAATCTAGGGTAAGGATCGTCCCGAATACGCTTCTGTTGTGGCGTTGGAGACTTCTAGTGGAGCCACTCTTTCCATGCTCGTTGCAAGACAGGATGTGTGCGACACATTTGTCGCTTTGGGTTGGTGGGATTCGCAGGTTTGGTGAGTGCGAAATGTTCACTTGTTTTGCGGAGGAAAGTGTTCTCGCCTAAGGCAACCAACCGAAATAGGTTTCGCGGATCTCGCAAACAGCCTATTTCAAATCCACATAACTTGATAATTTACCATGCTGACCCCGGGCTTTAACAAGAGTGAAGCATGGTGGTGATGTGGCTGAAACAGGCCCTTAAGGACCTAGGATTGTTAAAGAAACTTCAATGGAAACCACCAGGTACAGAACAAGCTTGTTCACTCACCACTTATGTTACCATAATGCGGTAATCGCCTAAAGGGCAGCTAAGGGTATATTTCTGACAAATTACGGGATGATTATATCCTGACTACAAATGGCCACACGAGGAAGATACCTCGTGATCAGCACATCCAAGGCACTGACATACGTACGAATGCGCATCAGATGAGGCAAGCCCATCAGCTTCCCCACCCCTTTCTGCGTCACTGTGGAATCCCACAGATCAAGCCGCTCCAATTCACTCAACTGTGCGACCAGCTCCATACCAGCATCAGTGACACCAGGTGGCACTGCTAAGATCTTCAGCTTGGTCAGCGAGAGAAGGTGCCGCAGCCCATCGTCCTTCACACCAGTGGAACCCAGGTGGAGATCTTCGAGGTGCCCCAGCTTGCCCACATGCACCATGCCGGCACTTGTCACACCCCGGCAGCCGACCAGATCGAGCAGGGTGAGTGACGAGAGGGCTGCCACATGGTGCAAGGCAGCATCAGTGACAGTGGTGCCCACGAGGCTGAGGATGTGAAGGGTGCTGCTGAGCACCCCAATGCCGTGCAAGGCATCGTCTGAGATGGGTGTGTTGCGCATGTCCAGCCCGCGCAGCTGGGGCAGCCTGTAGAGCTGCTTGATACCCTCTGCGGTGAATCCAGAGGAGCCATCAAGGCCGATGGACTGCAGGTGCTGCATGGTCGAAATTCGCCCGAGGGCTGCGTCTGAGAGGCACGAGATGTTCTTTGCGTCCAATGAGGTGCGAGCTGGCGTTGCTGAGAAGATGGCCTGAGAAGGGTGCACATGGATGATGGACGACACACAAGGCTACCATCAGATCAACGTGAGGGCACAAGGCAGTGTTGCTTTTGCATACAACCTGACAAGAACACAGACCCCATCAGCAGCACCTAGAGCGGAAATCCGCAGCACCCTGAGCCCAACCCCATCTAGCAACACTCACAACATACCATACCTCCCATATCTTCTCGACACCACATTTCAGTTGACCCAGTTCATTCTTCACGGCTGCCAGCTCCCCCCTTGCTGTTGTCAACTCGTGGAGAGGAAGTGACACAAAGGGATGAGCAGACTATCTTTGCAATAAAAATGGCACTCAAGCACCCGAATACATGCGCCTTGCAGGTTTCCTTGCGCCAATTGGACGCCCTCAAGCACCCAAATACACCCAATAACACCCAAATGCACCCAACTCCAAGCCCTGCGTACCGATTCATTGTGTGCCAGGGTCTCTTCCAGCGCCAAGGCACGATTCTTGTGGTCTTCCAGATCTGCCTTCACTCCCACCAGCTCCTCCACTTGCCCTCTCAGCTCATTTGAAAGAACTGCTCCCCTTCCCTCAGCCTCCCCCACCCTTTTCCTCGTTGCTTCCAGCTCGGTAATGATCGCTGTCACTTTTGTCTCCAGGGCCTCTTGCCTCTTGAGCAATTCACCTTTCTGCCCTAAACTGGTCTCGACGACTTTACTTGCAAGCTCCCTGCATGCGGGATGGGAACACACCGGGGAATGATGATTGTTTAAAAAACATTACACAATGTTTATCTAAAGAAAAGAACTAAAATAAACAAATAATTAAATCAAATCCGCAGCAACATGTATGCACTGAGAGTTCAAGGGGCACAAGTTCGGAAGGATGCAAGACTGTAGTGATGAGGGGCGAAACATGCACAGGCACCAAGAGAATGACACTAAGACAGGAAGGGGGATGCGCATAGAGGAAGGCAGACGGACATGAAGAGGGAGGAGCTCCGAAGGACGAAGGCCATGAGCAGCCCATTGACTGCCCCATCCTCTTCACACGTGCGAGCCATGGAGGGCTCGAGACCTCGAAGCACGAGGAAGGAATCTGAAGCGCATGGGCGGAGGACGGAACCTGATATATAGGGGAGGAGGAAGTGAGGGAGTAGCCAGAGAGAGGAGTAAGGGGGTCTGACAGAGAGGGCGAGAAAAGGGAGGAAAGAAGGGGAAGACACAAATTGCATGGGAGGTGAAAGCGAAAGTTTACCTCGGCTATTTTGTACGATGGCGTGCTTCTTTAGAGCGGGTTTATTCTCCTTAGCTTTGCAATTTGAAGAATCGGCCTCAAGCAGGAAGGACCTGCAGCATTCAGGCATGGTGGTTAGGTGGTTTCCGTAAAGCAAGGGGGCAGAAACAGAGTCTCAGCGCGAGACATAGGAACGTCTCAAGGTAGAAAATTTGCGAAATCACAGGCATATTTGACAAACTAGAATGGCTACGTGTTAATGGGAAGGCGTCGCTGCCTTGCCTATCCTCTTGGCTTCAAGCGACCTGATCTTGCGGAACGAGTGAAGGCCCAAACGGAGGAGGAATAGGAGAAGAGAAGCAGAGTGGAGATGGCAGGGAAAGAATGAGCTAGTTTGAATTGCGAGATATGCTGTGACGGACAAATAAGGAATGAGGACTGATTGAATGAGGCGAGGGTCTCTTTTAACGGGTAAAACAATGCTGAAGGACGTACAACCGTGGAGCCGTGCGTGCGTTTTGAGTCGACTCAAAACACACACGGGTAAAACAATGCTGAAGGACGTAGCAACCGTGGAGCCGTGCGTGCGCGGTGCCTGACGGGATGTTGGGAGTCGCATCCTACCGTTCGACGCGACTCGCTGTGATCACAACGCGGGATGAACGCGTGACGGCTGTCAGTCATAGCCGCGCTGCAACGTGAGACCATGAAAGTTGTCGCACATCATTGGCGACGGCCTGTGCCTGTGGCATCCATTCGGCCTGTGGCGAAATTGGGTCGCATCGATGCTGCTGGCTATGCATGAATCAGCCTCCAACTATCGCAAAAATGCATCTAAATTGCCTCGTCGTCTCCCTTTTAAACCTTTTCGCTATTCGTTCCCATTTGTGCACGCCATGGACGATCGGCTCCATATGATACACTCTCCGCCTGGCGCATGGATGGCAACGGCGCAACGAGGAGAGGGCGGGGATGTCGAAAGCTGGTCCGTTTATTCTTCTGACATCACATTGGGAATGAAAATTGTCGATCGCCAAAAGAATGGACTCAAAACGATGGCACAAGATCCGAAATGAAAGATGGCAGACACCATCACAGCAGCAAACGTGAACAAGGCGTGAGCAAATGTCAGTCGAAGATGGCAGATGAAGGGACAGAGAGGGGGAGGCGTTGGATTGGAAGGCGAGATGGACGACGGCCATGGATCATCGCCTGACTGGCTCTTGGCGATGCCACAGCAAACCCACACCAGCAATGGAGGGGACAACGTGGGCTCGTTTGCTGATGGCCTGGCTATTCACCCAGCAGCACTCGAATCTCTCGAGTTCGAACGCATGCGTTGCCTTGCCTTCCACGATAAACCGTACCGGAACGCTCTACACCACTTGTGACTGACACTCGGATTCCCAACGGAAATTTGTCAGGTTACCATGTTTGTCAACGACAGCCCTTTCGTGCTCGGCACTTCGTCGGGGCTATGTCACAGATTCATCTCGAGCATTCACATATTTTGTTCCCGCATATCCCCCACCCATCTCCCCCTTCTTTCTGCATCGTTCATGAGCACATCGCATGCGCCGTCCGTGCAGTAGTCGCCCCCTAGCTCTCTCTCCGTCGTGCCGCTGGCGCTGCGCTCGTCAGTCGCACGCCAATGGTCTCACGTCGCGATGGCGCCGTCTCTGTCTGCCGGCGGAGTGGGTCTGTCCGCAGCGCGACCATCCACAAGCGGGTTATCAGCCGGCTTTAATCAGCGGAGACTAACATTCTTCCCTGATTCAGAGCTTGTGGGAGAGGCGCTTGCGCCGGTTAATGTGGCGTTCGAAGGTGAGCAAGTTCGACAAAATGAGTTTACCGTATTTCTTTTTGTTGCTGCCATCTCTCGTTTTCTGCAATCCGACGTTTAAGGTCCTTATTGAGCTGTTGAGCATAATTCCATATGTTCGAAGAATTCGCCGCACGAGAAGCCTTACGAAACCATAACTGGAAAACAAGAAACAGACCAGACATTCTAGCGATGAATTAGACATTGCGTTTCATACTGAATACATTTATTTCTGCTTTTACCGGTAACAAAGCACTTTTATTCCACCATCCCCGTCTCCAGCGACAGCGCCAGCAGCGGTTTCCACGTCCTCCGCTTTCTGCCAGTCGGCGCAGCCCGCCGTGCGCCAGCGCAGGGGGAGGCGCGGCATGTCAGCAGTAGCGGCGCAGGCTGTGCGCGGCGAAGGCGTTGTGGGCCTCACCGTCCCGGGTAGCGCCGTCCTGCCCTCGGTACAGTGCCACTGCCCTCTGCATATTGCCACTGCCCTCCAATATAATGGCACGGATATAAAAACTGACATACGTCTCGTCTTCCCTCCTCTTCCCCTCTCCGCACAGTTTCCTGGTCCCCCTCTCTCCCGCCCTTCCCCCCTCCATCCCATCATGAGTTTTCATCCCTTCCTCTCCTTCTATCCCCACCCGTTTTCTCCATGTGTCGCCTCTTGTCCCCCACCCCACCCTAGGCAGGTGATTCTCTCCTTCGACCCCTCCTCGCCGCCGCTCTCCCTCCCCACCGACCTGCTCCTCCTCGCTGTCTTCGACTCCGCCCTCTCCCGCGATGACACGTCAGCAGCCAACTTCACCGGTTTCGCTGCCGACGCACCAGGCGGTGCTGAGCTGGCATCTATCGACGCCACGCTGTCAGGCGCCCTCGCTGAGCTGGCATTTGACCTGGATTTTAGAGCGAAACCGGGGCAGGTTTCGCAAATCCTTCGCGTCCCCGGGCAGCCGTTCAAACGAATTGCGCTGATGGGGCTGGGAAAGCCGGATACGCTTTTGAATGGGGAGGCTGGTGCGTGGCAGAGTGTTTGCTTCGCTATAGCGAGTGCCGCTAAAACGAATCTGGCCAGCAATGTGACCCTCGCGATTGTAGGCAAGCCAGAGCCGGCGGAGGGTGAGGAGATTGAAGACTTAATCGCGGTTCGGGGAATAGTAACGGGCGCCTTAGTCGGCAGCTTCGAGGACGTGCGGTTCAAATCAGAGACGAAGGCGAAGGCAAAGGCTGCGAGCGGTTTGAAGGAGTTGCAAGTGGTGGGGCTGGGTGACGCGGAGTCAGTGCTGCAGAATGTGTTTGAGGCGGAGAGCCTGGCGGCCGGAATCATCCTCACCAGGGAGCTCGTCAACGCGCCGCCCAATGTGCTCACGCCAGCTGCGCTTGCTGACGTGGCGGTGACTCTGGCTGCCAGTCACGTGGACGTGCTGAGTGTGCGTGTGCTGGAGAGGGAGGAGTGCGCGGCGCTGGGCATGGGCGCTTACATGGCAGTGGCGGAGGCATCAGCGGCGCACAACCCGCCCAAGTTCATTCATCCGTCTCACGTACACGCCGCCTGCTGCTGCTGCAGAGGATGGTGCTGATGGTGGTGAAGGGGGTGAGGAGAAGCCGTTGACGAAGCTGGCTCTGGTCGGCAAGGGACTCACCTTCGACAGGTACGCATGCATGGGGCTGCTTCTTGTTGCTTCTCATGCCTCCTTGTGGCTCCTCATGAGTCCTCATTCCCCCTCTCCAACCCCGGGCCCCTCCCTTCTTCCCTATTCCGTGCCCTTCCCCTTCCCCTTCTCCCTTCCCGCCACCGTCCATCTCAGCTGGCCAGTGGCGGGTACAACCTCAAGGCGGGGCCTGGCTCCATGATGCTTTTCATCAAAATCTCCCATCCCATCCCCACCCATCCCCACCCATCCCCACCCATCTCCATCCATCTCCACCCATCCCCACCCATCTCCACCCATCCCCTACCCTCCTATGAGCCAGTGGCGGGTACAACCTCAAGGCGGGGCCGGGGTCAACGATTCACCTGATGAAGTTTGACATGGGTGGCGCTGCTGCTGTGCTAGGTGCTGCCAAGGGCATCGCTGCCATCCAGTTGCCCGGGGTCGAGGTGAGGGGGCTTGGCCTCCTGCTCTCTGTTCACCTGCTCTCCAACCACCTGCTCTCCATTCATCTGCTCTCGTAGCACTCTTTAGAAACTTAGAAGGATACCGTGTTTTTCAAACGCGTGCTGCGGCTGCCACAGGGATGACATGGGCCGTGGGCCATGGCTGACGTTCACCTCCCAGGGAATTTGTGGGTGGAGAGGGTTGTCAAAGCGTCTTGTTTAGAGCACGATGCTGCGAGATGCAATGGGGCGTGAAGCCGAGTGCGTGGTGTTGCGCTTGTTTGTTACCCCTTTCCTGCGCACCCCTTGCTGTTTGCATAGAGTGGAATGTTGGATGGGACGACATGCAGGCGTCATGCTGCTGTTCATGTGATGTCTGTTCGTGTGTGTGTGCCTTGCCGTGCATGTGGGTGGGCGCACCTCACATGTGTTCCGTCAGGTGCATTTCATCATAGCAGCGTGTGAGAACATGATCAGTGAAGTCGGCATGAAGCTGGGCGACATCATCACTGCCTCTAATGGCAAAACCATTGAGGTGAGGCGAGACCATTGAGGTGAGGCGAGACCATTGAGGTGAGGCGAGAGCATTGAGGCCCTTGTCTTGTCCTCGTCGTCTGCGCCATTCCCACCGCCCTCGCCACCACCACCTGCTCCTTGCTCCTCGCCCCGCCCTTGTTCCTCTTGGCATTGCCACCAAACACCAAACACCAAACACCAAACACCAAACACCAAACACCAAACACCAAACACCAAACACCAAACACCAAACACCAAACACCAAACACCAAACACCAAACACCAAACACCAAACACCAAACACCAACCACCAACCACCAAACACCAACCACCAACCACCAAACACCAAACACCAACCACCAAACACCAACCACCAACCACCAACCACCAACCACCAAACACCAAACACCAACCACCAACCACCAACCACCAACCACCAACCACCAAACTCCAACCACCAACCACCAACCACCAACCACCAACCACCAACCACCAACCACCAACCACCAACCACCAACCACCAACCACCAAACACCAAACACCAAACACCAAACACCAAACACCAAACACCAAACACCAAACACCAAACACCAAACACCAAACACCAAACACCAAACACCAAACACCAAACACCAAACACCAAACACCAAACACCAAACACCAAACACCAAACACCAAACACCAAACACCAAACACCAAACACCACACACCACACACCAAACACCAAACACCAAACACCAAACACCAAACACCAAACACCAAACACCAAACACCAAACACCAAACACCAAACACCAAACACCAACCACCAACCACCAACCACCAAACCACCAACCACCAACCACCAAACACCAAACACCAAACACCAAACACCAAACACCAAACACCAAACACCAAACACCAAACACCAAACACCAAACACCAAACACCAAACACCAAACACCAACCAACAACCACCAACCACCAACCACCAACCACCAACCACCAACCACCAACCACCAACCACCAACCACCAACCACCAACCACCAACCACCAACCACCAACCACCAAACACCAAACACCAAACACCAAACACCAAACACCAAACACCAAACACCAAACACCAAACACCAAACACCAAACACCAACCTCCAAACACCACACACCACACACCAAACACCAAACACCAAACACCAAACACCAAACACCAAACACCAAACACCAAACACCAAACACCAAACACCAAACACCAAACACCAAACACCAAACACCAAACACCAAACACCAAACACCAAACACCAAACACCAAACACCAAACACCAAACACCAAACACCAAACACCAACCACCAACCACCAACCACCAAACACCAAACACCAAACACCAAACACCAAACACCAAACACCAAACACCACACACCACACACCACACACCACACACCACACACCACACACCACACACCACACACCACACACCAAACACCAAACACCAAACACCAAACACCAAACACCAAACACCAAACACCAAACACCAAACACCAAACACCAAACACCACACACCACACACCAAACACTACACACCAAACACCAAACACCAAACACCAAACACCAAACACCAAACACCAAACACCAAACACCAAACACCAAACACCAAACACCAAACACCAAACACCAAACACCAAACACCAAACACCAAACACCAAACACCAAACACCACACACCACACACCAAACACTACACACCAAACACCAAACACCAAACACCAAACACCAAACACCAAACACCAAACACCAAACACCAAACACCAAACACCAAACACCAAACACCAAACACCAAACACCAAACACCAAACACCACACACCACACACCACACACCAAACACCACATTTCAGCCAGCCCCACTGCGCTTCACTCCTGCCGCACATTCACTTAGAGCACAGTGAGGTTTTAAGTTAAAGCATTAGGTTTTTTTTTTTTTTTTTTTTTTTTTTTTTTTTTGCGTTTGCTTCTCCATATATCTCCACCCCACCCTCCCTCCCCACATGCCTCTCTTCCTCGACCACACCTCCGTGTGGTGGCATTGAATGGCGTTGCATGCACAGGTCGGTTGTTCACAGCAGATGTTCATTCCCTCATCCTCTTCTGGCAGGTGAATAACACGGAGAGAGCAGGAGATTAGCATCAACAGCTTTTGTAAATGCCTCATAACGCATTGATCTCCTCCCCTTCCCCGTCCCCTCCTCCCCTTCCCCGTCCCCTCCTCCCCGTTCAACCCCTGCAGGTGAACAACACGGACGCGGAGGGGCGGCTGACACTAGCGGATGCGCTGCTGTACGCGCAGCATCAGGGCGCCCAGAAGATCGTGGATGTCGCCACTCTCACTGGCACATGCGCCGTCGCCCTCGGGACTGACATTGCTGGTACGCCCTCGGGACTGACATTGCTGGTACGCCCTCGGGACTGACATTGCTGCTATCACACTGGCGTGCACTGCTGCTATCACACTGGCATGCACTGCTGCTATCACACTGGCATGCACTGCTGCTATCACACTGGCGTGCACTGCTGCTATCACACTGGCATGCACTGCTGCTATCACACTGGCATGCACTGCTGCTATCACACTGGCATGCACTGCTGCTATCACACTGGCATGCACTGCTGCTATCACACTGGCATGCACTGCTGGTCGAGCCTTCGAATCTTTTTATGATGGTGGTACGCCATGCGCGCACCAGTGTGCTGCATAACTTGTCTTTTTCCCTTTTTTTCTTCCAAGGAGTCGGAGATGAATGATATTTGACCATGCTTCACACTGCTGGTGCGCATTGTGTATTTCCTTTTATAGGCATGCATCCGTACTCGTGTGCACATTCCCTTGCACACTCGGCCCCAACACCCAAGCACCACCTCCTCCTCCCTTCCTCCCACCACCCGCAGGTCTCTTCACCCCGAGCGATCTGATGGCAGCGCAGCTGGAGTCTTCCTCCAAGAAGAGTGGCGAGAAGGTGTGGCGCATGCCCATGGAGGAGGCGTACTGGGAGGGCATGCACAGCAAGCATGCTGACATGCTCAACACGGGCCCCCGACAGGGAGGCTCCATCACTGCAGCGCTCTTCCTCAAGCAGGTGGGTGGAAGATGAGAGAGGGGAAGGCACCACAACCCTTATTGCTTCCTGCAGTTGTTCAGCAGGAGCAGACAAGAGGGGGAGAGTGTGCTTGTTTCTCTGCCACTCCTTCATGCCGTGCTGACCAGAATTACTCCTTGGTGGTCCGTGTGTGTTGCAGTAGCTCCTCTCCTCCTCCCGTCTCTCTCTCACCTACCCATGAATCACCAGAATCTGTGTGGATTGCAGCAAGGGGTGAATTCTCTTTCTCTCTCTTCTCCTGCCGCTTTGTTCCCTGCCACCGTTCCCGGGGAGGGCACCAGTTTGTGGCGAAGGGGCTGCCATGGGCGCTCTTGGATATTGCAGGGCCGGTGTGCAGTGAGAAGGTGGGCGGAGGCACAGGCTATGGTGCGAGCCTGCTGTACCACTGGGTGGCATTGCACTCCATCTTCACATCTCACTTGGACTAGCTGTCGCTTGTGCTGGGCTGAGAAAAGCCCTGTGATCCTTTACGGTAATAGATTTAAGGTAGAAGTAACATGGAAAGCAACCATGCAGTAAGTTCTGTCATTTTGTTGAAACATATTCTCTATTGTTTTCCTTACATCCTTCAACCAGTGAGTGCTTTCTCTTGCATTCCTTCCATTCTCCGTGTCAAACCACAGCTCACACAGTATCAGAGGAGCCGCTCTGCATGGCAATCTGGTGAGCACGGGCAATGGAAGCATTGAAGTTGAGATCGCTGGACGTGTCAATCTCGCTGTCGATGCGCGACGCCACCTTGTCCACCTCCACTCCCACTATCTCCCCCCTCCCTCACCATTTGATATCCTGTCATGGTGCGGTTTGGAGTCCTTTTCCATCCTTCCGCCCTTCAACCTGATACTGCTTGTACAATAGGCCAAGTGCATCAGATAGACGCTGTCAAACCACAGCTCACACAGTATGAGAGGAGCCGCTCTGCATGGCAATCTGGTGAGCACGGGCAATGGAAGCGTTGAAGTCGAGGTCGCTGGACGTGTCAATCTCGCTGTCGATGCGCGATGCCACCTTGTCCACCTCCTCGCCCACTATCTCCCCCCTCACCGCCACCAGCTCCCCCAACACCTTGCCCATGGAGGGGCGCGAGGCCGTGGGCATGGCGGTGCAGGAGAGAGCCAGGCGGGCGAGGCGCAGCAGAATGTCATCCGGGGCGTCCAAGAGAGGGTCTTTGAAGGCTGCCACTGAATCGGACGCCACCAGTGGCTCCACCTGCACGGATGGGAGGAGGGAGGAGGGAGGAAGCAGCAGAATGTCATCCGAGTCGTCCGGGCAAGGGTTTTTGAAGGCTGCGACTGAATCGGATTTACCAACGGCTCCACCTGCAAAGATGGGAGGAGGGAGGAGGCAGCAGAATGTCATCCGGGGCGTCCAGGCGAGGGTCTCTGAAGGCCGCCACTGAAATGGTTTTTACACATGGCTCCACCCGCATGGATGGGAGGGGGGAGGAGGGAGGAGGGAGGAGGGAGGAGGGAGGAGGGAGCAGAATGTCATCCAGGGCGTCCAGACAAGGGTCATCTCTGAAGGCTGTGATTGAATTGGATGCCACCAGTGGCTCTACCTGCAGGGACGGGAGAAGGAGGCTGTGTGAATGCAGCTGCAATGCTGTGGAGGGGCTGTGGTGGTGTAAGGATGCGCTGGGAAGGATCAGACAGTCTCACATAAAGCATCAGCTCTCAGCTCGCACATTGCTCCCCCTCAACCATTGCTTCCCTCATGCCTCAACCATTGCTTCCCTCATGCCTCAACCATTGCTCCCCTCGTGCCTAACCATTGCTCCCCTCGTGCCTCAACCATTGCTTCCCTCGTGCCTCACCCATAGCTCCCCTCGTGCCTCACCCATTGCTTGAGGTTGATATGGCCGTCCTTTGCCTCTTGCACTGCCTTGCGCCCCGTGATCACCGCCAGCATCACCACCCCAAAGCTGCCATCACAAAGCAAACAACAGAATTTGAAAGAACTGCTTTTTTTTGCAGTGAAGATGATGACCAGGCACTCCCCCTAAACCCTAGTCACGTTCCACTGCCCTCTCACGTGCTCTACACCCGCATGTAGTCGATTGCACCGGCGCACATCAGTTCTATTTCTTCACCCGTACCATGAGCCATAGGGGTTGCCTCTCCTCACCTGTATACATCGGCCGTGGGGGTGGCCTTGCGTGACTTGCAGTAAGCAAGGTCCACATAGCCCTGTGTGCCCATCATTCACCAGCTTGCACCACTCAGCACCGCTCTTTACCTGTAAACATCAGCCATGGGGGTGGCCTTGTGTGACTTGCAGTAGGCGGGGTCCACAAAGCCCGGTGTGCCCATCATTCGCGTGGCTGCCACTGTTGTGCCTGCAGCCGTGCCGCCACTCAGCTTCACCAGCCCAAAATCCGCAATCTTGGCCTGCGCTCACTCACACCACAACGGCAGGAGCAGCAGCAGGGGCACCACCAGCACCACACAGAATGGCCTGGTGACACAAGGTGGCTGCACACTTACAGCACCACGTTGTGGTTTAAGGCCTTAACAGAGGAATGAGTGAGGTGCAATGAAGAGTCGGGGGTGATCATAACGACAGCAGTGAAAGGCTTAAAAGTGCAGGGATTGCTGGGAGCAGGGATTGCTGGGAGCAGGGATTTCTGTGAGCAGGGATTTCTGTGAGCGTGGATTGCTGGGAGGAAGCATGCCTGCATGGTAGTGCTGAGGAGGATGTTGGCGGGCTTGATGTCACGGTGAACAATGCCAAAGTCATGCAGGTACTGCAACCCCTTGGCCACGCCAATCAAGATGTCGACTCGCTGGCGCAGGGAAAGCGGAGTGGCGGCACCGGGTGCGATCCAAGCATCGAGGTCATGGTTGGGCATGAACTTGTAGACGAGTATTTGCTCCATGGTGCGCGATGCCGGGTCAAACGCGATGCAGTAGCCCAGCAGCCGCACCAGATTGGGGTGGTGCTTCGATGCCATCTCCCTCACCTGCCAGGGGGGGGGGGGGGAGAGGAGAAAAAGGTGGAAGGGGAAAAAGATGGGGAAAATACAAGGGGTCAGTTGTATGGCATGGGCGATTGCAAAGAGCACCTGGGAAGCACACGAGGGTCACCTCTCTCTGGAAGTCGTTGGTGAGCACTCGAGCACGCTTCACCGCCCACACCTCGCTCCCTCCGTGCGGGTTCACGCCTCTGTACACGTCGCCAAAGCTGCCGCTGCCAATCCTGTTGCGCTCCGCCCAGTCCCCCGTGGCTGCTGCCATGTCCTCCAGAGAATACTCCTGACACACATCCGCCTGCGCCGCCCCCACCTCCACCACCTTCCTCCGCACTCCCTGCTGTTGCTGCTGCTGCTGCTGCCGCCGCCGCCGCTGCTGCTGCTGCCGCTGCTGACGATGCTGCTTTTGTGTTCTCTATGACCATGGCTGGAAAGTGATTCAAGGGATGTGTGCGGTGAGGCGAGGCAACAACATGGATGGGAGGTAGTACAGAGTATACGTAGGGGTACAGTAGAAGGACCCGATGGATGGCATGGCGAAAGTCTACGTGTGTGTGTATTGTAGAGTCGAGGTTAAGAAAAACACGTCAGAGCAAATGCTTTTGACGGTTGGATAGCGAGAGGAGATGATGGGCGCATGAAATGGAGGAATGCATGGGAAGTGGAGAGAAGATATAGTTCGGGACCAGGAGACAGAGGGGTGATGCGAAGAGGGCTGTGAAGGAGGGAGTGCGAGATAAAGAAGTGGAAGTGAAGGGGTGGATGGGAGAGAGTGGAGATGGCAGAGCTAGGAAGAGAGTCGCACCCTCGCAGTCCTCCTTGCTTGCAGGGACAGCCCTCGAGAATGCCTTTGCTTGGCCGTGCCTCCGCCACAGCAGTGCACCGAGCAGCCCTGCCAGCAGGAGGGCAGCCACGGCAGCAACAGCGATGCCGGCAATGGCTGCTGTGGACAGACCCCCTTGCGATGCAGGGTTGGTTGCTGAGGGGAGGTGGAAGGCAGACGATATAGGCACAGTAACATCACCGAGTAACAGCATTGGTCAAGAGATATGAGTGTGATTTGCCGTCTTGAGTGAACCACTCAACTGTGCGTTTGACGGGGAGCACAAGACACTCGAATCCTCTACAGTAGGTATTTGAAGCACATGGTCGTACCTGAAGGTGCTGCATACCTGTAGACAAAGCATCAGTTCGACCTCGCTGATCCAACCAGCCAGCTATACTCAACCCAAAGCAGGTGCAGGTCGATTCAACCCGACCCCGGATCAAGACCCACTCGACGGGCTTTTAGGGGTGAGTCAGTTGATCCGAGGGCGGGTCGGGTTGAACCGATCCGCCATTTTATATAACCGCCTGGTGATTTGCCGGTTTGGCCTGCCTGGTGCATTGGCGATTTTTTCCCTCGATTCGCGCAAATCGATTTTGACCACCGGTCCCTGTATCAGAACAGCCATTTTGGAGGTCGATTCGTGCAGATTGAAGCATTTTGACAGCCGATTGGCACATATCAAATCAACCACCTTGGCAGTCGATCCGCGTGGCTGATGGGTTAAGTAGGTCCGGCTTGACTAAAAACCTGATTCCGGGTCTCGGGACGACCCGACCCGTCCGAGACGGGCCGACCCGGAAAACCCAGGCTGGCCATGTCGGGACTTCGACCCATTCTGGCCAGAAATACCGGGTCGGGTCGATCTGTTCATAGGTACTGCCATGTCAAGACTCCAATGCATACCTGGAGGCGGCGCGAAAATCCAGGCATGCCTTGCAGAAGGCACTGTCAAGGTGCTGCTGAACCTCACAGCTGGTGCCGCTTGGCGGGCATGTGAGTGACGTGCCATTCAGATTCCTGTAGACAAAGAGAACATTGTGACTGATGCGTATCAATCCGTGTTTATTCATAGTTGGTAACGATCTGCTCTTACAGAAGAGCTGTACTTGATAGAAGATTGTGTAAAAATTTAGTCAAGGTACAGATTGGAGCACAGCACGATGCAACATACAGCACAGTGCACCATACAGCACACTGCACCACACGTCATGCTGCACCATACAGGGCAAAGAGGCATACAGGGCAAAGAGGCATACAGGGCAAAGAGGCATACAGGGCAAAGAGGCATACAGGGCAAAGAGGCACACAGGGCAAAGAGGCACACAGGGCAAAGAGGCACACAGGGCAAAGAGGCACACAGGGCAAAGAGGCACACAGGGCAAAGAGGCACACAGGGCAAAGAGGCACACAGGGCAAAGAGGCACACAGGGCAAAGAGGCACACAGGGCAAAGAGGCACACAGGGCAAAGAGGCACACAGGGCAAAGAGGCACACAGGGCAAAGAGGCACACAGGGCAAAGAGGCACACAGGGCAAAGAGGCACACAGGGCAAAGAGGCACACAGGGCAAAGAGGCACACAGGGCAAAGAGGCATACAGGACAAAGAGGCATACAGGGCAAAGAGGCACACAGGGCAAAGAGGCACACAGGGCAAAGAGGCAGACAGGGGAAAGAGGCACACAGGGGAAAGAGGCACACAGGGCAAAGAGGCACACAGGGCAAAGAGGCACACAGGGCAAAGAGGCACACAGGGCAAAGAGGCACACAGGGCAAAGAGGCACACAGGGCAAAGAGGCACACAGGGCAAAGAGGCACACAGGGCAAAGAGGCACACAGGGCAAAGAGGCACACAGGGCAAAGAGGCATACAGAGCAAAGAGGCATACAGGGCAAAGAGGCATACAGAGCAAAGAGGCATACAGGGCAAAGAGGCATACAGGGAAAAGAGGCACACAGGGCAAAGAGGCACACAGGGCAAAGAGGCACACAGGGCAAAGAGGCACACAGGGCAAAGAGGCACACAGGGCAAAGAGGCACACAGGGCAAAGAGGCACACAGGGCAAAGAGGCACACAGGGCAAAGAGGCACACAGGGCAAAGAGGCACACAGGGCAAAGAGGCACACAGGGCAAAGAGGCACACAGGGCAAAGAGGCACACAGGGCAAAGAGGCACACAGGGCAAAGAGGCACACAGGGCAAAGAGGCACACAGGGCAAAGAGGCATACAGGACAAAGAGGCATACAGGGCAAAGAGGCACACAGGGCAAAGAGGCACACAGGGCAAAGAGGCACACAGGGGAAAGAGGCACACAGGGCAAAGAGGCACACAGGGCAAAGAGGCACACAGGGCAAAGAGGCACACAGGGCAAAGAGGCACACAGGGCAAAGAGGCACACAGGGCAAAGAGGCACACAGGGCAAAGAGGCACACAGGGCAAAGAGGCACACAGGGCAAAGAGGCACACAGGGCAAAGAGGCACACAGGGCAAAGAGGCACACAGGGCAAAGAGGCACACAGGGCAAAGAGGCACACAGGGCAAAGAGGCACACAGGGCAAAGAGGCA